TCCCCAAAGAAAACTAATATTTTTCAAAACCTGTTTTCCAAAATTCCACCAACACCCCTAAGCATTGTTTAAGTATTGATAGAAGCCTGAATCATTTTCATAATTCTTTAAGTTACTCTATCGCACCCATTAAGTTGTTGGCACTTTTGTCGGGGAAGAATTTATTTTATTTGTAATTTTTTATTATGGATCTCCGAAATGATTCTACTCGTGGGGTCAGAATACAAAGTGTATGATCGTACTCATTGAACAAAATGATCGTAGACCTTTTCACTCTATATAAACAAGCCAATGGGAGGATAGATGGGATTATACATACAATTAATCATGGAAGATAGCGACTTTCGCCTACATATCTCGATGAGTAATAATATGTATAACCAAATAATCATGAAATTTATCCCATCTAATACATCAACTCGAATGAGGTTTAATTGATATGGGTATCGGTTTCCTACGAGCGCAAGCCCCCGTAGTTAATTATATCTTAAACATCGGCCTAAGAAAAGTCTTGATTAAGGACACTATATTATTTCCTACGAGCGCAAGCCCCCGTAGTTAATTGTTTCAGTTATCTAAGAAACAATCACCAAAATTTGAAGTAAAGCAACAACAAATGGAGATGTACCCATATGCTTTAGCAGTTAGAAGTTTGATTTATGCTATGATCTGCACGAGACCGGATACAACATATGTAGTGGGAGCAGTTAGTCGATTTCTGAATAACCTAGGAAAACTTTATTGGGATATGGTTAAGTGGATTCCTAGGTACTTGAGAAGATCAATTGATAAAGCTCTTTGTTTTGAAGGTGTATGCATTGATCTGTAAGGGTATGAAGATTCTAATATTATTTGAGATCTTGATGGTTGGAGAAGAAGAAATGGTTATATCTTCACTTTGAAAAACACTATAATGAGTTAGATTTTTAAGTTATAGAAGTTTGTTGCGCCTTCAACTATAGAAGCTAAGTACATTGTTATCATTGAGTCTAACAAGGAGTTGATATATTTGCAAGGTTTCTTGCCAGAACTTGAGAAAGGGTAAGGGAGTGGAAAGTTGTATAGTTATAACATGAGTGCTATTCATCTAGTCAAAAATATTGTATTCCATGCCATGATGAATCACATCTAGCTGCAATATCATTTTATCATATCACTTTTGGAAGTTAACCATTTATCTTTGGAGAAGATTTACACGACCAAGAATCTTACAGACATGCTGACGAAGATATAGATAGTTGATAAACGGAAGCTATGCATAACTTTAGTTTGTCTTAATGAATGATCAGAGCAGGAGTGAGCCACACTACACGTACTATGATTGGTGTTACATATTGAGAGAAGGATTGATTGCAACCGGTTTCCAAGTGAGAGATTGTTAGTTTAGTGTAGAATATGATTATGTTGATCAATCTGGGTTATACTTTTGCCTCAAACATTAGTTCAGCCATTCAAGTCGCTGGTGGGTTGCAGATGTTACATGTTAATGATAGTTGAGTTATTCATGGCTCCACAAAAATATAACCTAGATGCGATGCATGCCCACCATGTCTAGTTGTGTCACTGGAGTGTTTGGTGAAGGGTTTTAGATGGGAAAAGTGGAGAATCTCGACTTATGGGAAGAGGATTATGACAATTTCAATCCTATGAGTTAGGTAGATTGATGCAATCGTATATGGATAATTTCAATCAATAAAGACGTACGCTGCACTGGTAGGAAGGGGGGCTACTTGGGCAGAATTGCCATCATCAATGGATGTTTCATGATTTGAAATTATGCCGCAAGGAAAATAAAAATATCATCTCAAGTGCACATGAAATCAGCAAAATTAAGTCAGATGACATATAGTTGTATTTTAACTGTATTTATGTGATGTTGATTAATCTTTTTACTGATTGTCATTGTCAGTACTGGGTTATAATAGTATTTTAAAAAGCTACAGGTTTATTTTCTTTATTTTATGGAGTTCTATTACAATTTTTATGGCTACTTTGTTAATTTTTTTCTTTGTGGGTTGTAATAATAAGAAAGAGAGCTTCTCTTTTTCTTCTGCATTTTTTTTTGTCCCCGAATGACGTTCGATGTCCGCACAAAATAATTTTTTCGATCTCAAACTCCATTGAAATGAAAAAAGAGAGCGCATATTCGAAAAAAATGAATTTGAACTCCCACCTAGAAAATTATTTAGCTCCATCATTGTTCGTATAAGAAGTGTAAGTAATTATAATAAATTTGAAAGAAAATTTATAAATAATAACTCCTTAACTGAGTAAATTTTAATGGCCAAAAAATTAAATATTTCAAAAAAAAACCGAACAAATTAGTGGGAAAGTCAAATATCTCAAAACATTAGCTCTTTAGACAAAAGAACATTTACTTGTTATTGAAGGTACAAAATATAACAATTAAATTAAAGTAATTTGTTTTATTTTATTTGATTGCGTTTGCATTTCTCGGATTTGAAGAAATGAACTCAATAATCATAACAGTTCCCACTGCAAGCCGGCCACGCTAAGAAGATGAAAAAGAGAAAAATTGTTGCATTTACAGGCCGTGATTTAAATGAATTTGCATCACATGATCTAAAATAATAATCAAATTATATTAATCACCTCATTTATTGATTAGGACAAGCATAATCCTCCTCACAGAGAAGGCGGCACCGGATTAATCGCCACCGCTCCCTCTAACATCTGCATTACTTGCCCCATCGTCGGCCTCAAGGCTGGCTCTTCTTGCACGCACCACAAAGCCACCATCAAAAACCTCTCCACCCTCCCCATATCTGCCATGGCCTCCTCATCTCCCTCCAGAAGAGCATCAATCCGTCCATCATTATAACAATCACTTACCCAAAAAGTAAGAAGGGCCTTTTCTTCCTCCATCTCATTTTCCACATTCCTCCTACAAAACAAAATCTCCATAACCATCACACCGAAACTATAAACATCCACCTTGGCACTTATCACTGAGTTCCTGAACCATTCAGGCGCAACGTACCCCTTCGTTCCCCTTATCCCTGTGTTCGTCCTCGTCTGGTCTGTTTTCAAAAGCTTTGCGAGCCCAAAGTCTGAAACCCTTGGATTGAAGTTCTCGTCAAGGAGTACATTTTGCGGCTTTATGTCACAGTGAATGATCTGCGTGGTACACTCTTCGTGCAAATATCGAAGGCCCCTTGCAATCCCGAGCATAATTTCCACTCTTTGTTTCCATGGCGGCCGAATTTTGCTGAAGAGATAGCTTGCAAGGGAGCCTTTACTCATATATTCATAGACAAGAAGCCTCTTCGTGTCTTGGTTGCAGTAGCCAAGGAGACGCACGAGGTTCTTATGTTGAGTTTCCCCGATAGATTTTACCTCGTTAGTAAATTCCTTATCGATATCTGGGTGAAAGTCGCGTAGCTGCTTAACGGCTAGGTTGGGGGTTCCGGTAAGCTCAGGACAAAGATATCCTGTATAAACCGTGCCACATGCTCCTCTTCCGAGCTCTTCACTGAAGCCTTTGGTGGCTTCCTGAAGCTCTTTGTATGTGAATGCCTTAAGATTCGGCCCCAATACGTTGTCGTTAAGCTGATGTTTTTGTTTCCTTTTGCTCACATGAAAATAAATGAGGGTTACAGAAACAATGATGAAATTTAGTACAACGGAGCTGACGAGAACTATAGAATCGGGTAGAATCCAAGTTCTCTTCTTGGAAAGGGGAGAGCTTGGTAGGTTATTGTTGTTACTTACTTTGATGAAGGCTACTCCGCTTACGTAGTTTCCTTTCCTCCCATTGGAGAAAGGAAACTTCTTTTTATAGCAATTGCCTACTCCATCGTAAACTGAAGCCGCGCATAAGCAATCATCCAAACATTGTTGTTCACAGTCCGTCTCATTCATAGGATTGAACTGGTCATAATTTTCAGTTGGGAAGTCGAGTTTCTCTATTCTAACCATCTGAAATCCCTCGCCCGGTACTCTAGAGATACAACTAGGCATGGTGAAGTTGGGCTTGCATCCCATATAAGTCCTGTTCGGGTCGACCCATGAATAGCCCACCGGGCACTGACATGCGACCATCTGCTTCGTGTCATAGCTGCAGTAGCTGTTGAACCCGCAAGCTCCACTTCCGGGCGTTGTAATCAAATTCTGGCATATATCTATCGGGCTAAAATCCATGAGCAGCCACTCGGCCGCACCGCCTGCGACGACTGTCTTCTTTGGGTAAACATAGTGACGGAAGACTCCATCGTAGTCAAGAGTTCCTCGGTGGTAGTAATCTGAGGATGATTTCGTCGTTGCTGAGGTCAGAGTTGATAATACAGACCCACTCGGAGAGATTAGGTCAATGCTTCCCGAAGCATTGAAGACGAGCCTGGAGGAGTAGGTAGAAAATGGAAAATTATATAAAAAGAAGTCGCATAAGAATTAAGAATGCAAAGCAAGGTTATATATAGATTTGTTTCCCTGTCTAATTTTATCTCTTATTTTTAAAGACAAACATTAAAGTGTAAAAATATATTCAGCAATCTTTTTGCTTTTGCTTTCTATTTAAAATAAATAAATAAACATTTAACATCATGAAAAAAACTTCATATGATTTTTTTTACATAATATTTTAAAACATGTATAGAAGTGATAATATTGCTTAATTAAATCTAGTAAAATAATTGCTTATTAGTTATGATATTAGAGATTAAGAAGCCTAATTAATTAATATTTATAAATTTTTATGGTTTTGCAGAAATAGAAAATTAAATTAACAGTTAAATGATTATAGGGAGATTTACATACATACCACTTTATACTATTCTATTTATATATTTAACACCTAAAATTTTAATATTATACACATGCCACCCATAGTTCATTTTTATATGAAATATGAGTGGTTGAAATGAAATATATGAGTGGTAGTAAGGAAATATGGGTGGTATATTTGATATTAAAATAATATAGGGTGGTATTTATGTAATATTAAAGTTTTGGGTGTTAGATATGTAAATAGAATGTTATAAAATGGTATGTATGTAAATTTCCCTAAAATGGACACATATACATTTCACATGTCAATATTTTATTGATGATTTAATAGACACATATACATTTCACATGTCAATATTTTATTGATGTCCTAACGTACCTCTACACCCATGACCGGACCTAATAATTTACCTGAATTAAGAAAGACCCTTACCGGGAGTTTGGCACTAGGAAATTGGCGGCCCAGTAGGGACTGTACTGGTATCCGGTGGGTATAGCAATCTGGTAGAAGACGAGGTTTCCATCGGACTGCATACGCAGCTTGAATCGGCCGTTGCTGAAATCATCGTCGCTCAGCTTCGCCACGATTTCAGTACCGGGGCTTAGGGTTTGAGTGGGGAGAATCGTGTCCGTCGGATCGGAAAAGCTATTCCAGAGAACGGAGCCGTCAGAAGCCGCAAGAACGAAGTCGCCGGTATCGAGCATGGCGGCATAGGAAGCTTCCGGAGCACCGGGGTTCCAGACTTCGGTTCCGGTGGGATCTCGGAGGGAGAGCTGTCCATCATCTGAGGTGAGGAAGACGGAGGATTTGGGAGGAAGGGGTCTGTGTCGATTTGGGGTCCAGATGAGGGTTGTGGTGTTGGGGAGATTGGCGAACCAGATGGCGAGGAGGAAGAGGGAGGTGTTAGTTGGGAGGGGGAGGAAGCCGAAGGCAAAGTTGCCCGAGGGGGAGAGCCATGAGAGGTCTGTGACTCCGGCGGTGTCGGTGGTGAGGTAGGAACTTAAGGTTATGTTGTTGTGGGGCTGACCTGCTACTGCGATGAAGGCGATGATTGTAAGGAGGAGGAGGAGGAAGAACGATGGATATTCCATTGAAAAGGATGACGAAATGGGAGTCGACCGTGGCTTGGAAGCTGGAATTGTATAAAGTAGTGAACGGTCGCGGAAGACTTCCGCACAAGGAAAAGTATTAGGTACATCTATTATTGGATACGTGAAACCGTTTCACGCATTGCATCCGTACTGTTCCGGCACAAGAATTTTTTTTTTTTTGGCAATTTGGCATGTGTTATTTCGTGTGGATTTTCGGATCCCGTGCGGCGTTTTGGGTGGTGTTGCCAACTATTTCAGCTTTTTATTGGTTGTTTACTGTGTTTTAATCTCAATAATTCTTTTGATTTTTAGTTATATAATAGATTCAATAGTATCAATCAAATGGCTTCCACTGCTATAAATAGGCCGGCAGATGAAGAAGCAAACTAAGCTAACTCTAAGAAGCATATGAGAAGCAAGTGAGTTGAAGCTGGAGATAGAAAAAAAGAAGCTGCATTTTGAAGGTAAGTAATTTAAATTAGAATTCATATAAATGTTTAAAATAAGTAATTTATATAATGCTTTGTATAATATTTATATGATAGTTGATAAGAATGACTTCATCCCCACTTTTTCTTATTTACTAATTTCTTGTTTCAACATCACATGTTACCATTACTAATACGTCATCAAAAATCGTCTTGATCGGGCACTTATCCAAAAGCATATATGAGTTGGCAACTTCTAAAATTAAATTCGAAACCAACTAGAGTCCAGTAAAATTTTCGGAACAAGCATCTTATATGCGACACTTAAAGATTCAAGCAGATTTTTTAAAAAATTTATAAAAGATCAAATGCGCTAGATAGGTTGGCGCATTCAAAGAATGCACCATCTTGTTCCGCGTATTCTTTGAATGCGCCATTACATTGAGCGCATTCTTTAAATGAAATTTTTTTGCATAAAATGAGCGTAAGCAGTCGGCGTATTCAGCTTTCTACACGCTTTGATCTTCCTCGTTATGAGTGTGCATAATTTTCATTGTATGAGGTTTGTTTATTTTCGTTTTCAGTTCCACATGTTATTCCTCTGTACCGTTCCACTTGTAAATCAGTGGATGATGTAGTGTGTTTTATCTTGTTGATTGTCAAATTATAATTTTATGCTGAGAGTGGGAGTATTGTGTAGGGGAAATGGGTCTTAGAGTTTTTGAGTTAATTTGGAAAATAAAAATTCAGTTAGTTTATTAAATATAATATTTAGAATAGTTGATTTATTGAGATCTTAAAGAATAAAACATTTATACTGAATTTATTGATTCGACCTTTATAAAAATAATCTCCAATATGGCTTGAGAAAGAACAAATTATCCTGAAATATTAAAAATTAAAAATTTTCAAATTTAGAAATAGTTTAGATATTATATACAATAATTAGTTTTGCTATTAAGAGATTTAGAAGAAGTAACTTATGAATTATTTTTTATTTAATATTTCTTATGTGAAATCAACTTGTTGAGATAATTGTTGAGAAATAAATTTGTTATCTTATCATTTAAATAATTAATTATTTCTTAAAAAAATATAAAAATGATTGAAAAAAGAATTAGATTAGATAATTTAAAGGCATTATATAATGGCCAAAATTTCGAAACAAGCATCGTAAATGCGACATTTAAAGATTCGAGCAGGTTTTTAAAAAAAATTAAAAATTATAAAAAGATTCGAGCATATTTTATATTTAAATCTAAAATAGAACTAGCTAATAATTTTAGAAAATTGGGAAATGAAAGTGCCAAAAGTCTTTAACACAAATTCTAGAAAATACAAGATTAGTTCAGTAATAAAATGGATGACATATCATAATAATTGAGGAATGGTAAACAAATTATTATTACATTTGGCTCAGAACTATGCGCATACGCGCTTG